CACACACACAAACACACCCCCCCCCCTCTCGTCAAGACCGCAGGACCCGACCTTCATCTCCCGCCAAGTTCGCACGAAATCCCACCCTCTCGCCGCTCCCAATTCTCCGTCGACTACTTGGCATTGCTTCCGCGGCAGTCGTCCACGAGCATCGCCAATGGCAACATCATGAAATTCACAACCGAAAAAAAAAAAAAGAACTCGATGACGACGTTAAAGAACCAACTTTGATCAACACAGCACGCAATGGCCTACATGGCCGACCGACCACGGATGGCGGCAGCGATCTCCAACAGTGCTTGGCACATCATCCTCTGCGTCCCATCAGACGCCACATAGTGCGCTTTTTAGACGGCAACTTCCTGCTCCAATATGTCGCATTGCCTCGTGAAGATGCTGCATTGCCGCTTGGTAGACGATTCGATCGTTGACGACATCAGTGCGCCATGGCGTTCCATGACATCAGAGATGGACTCGAATACCTGCTGACGCGCGTTCTTCCGCTTTCCGCTTTCCGCCTCCCGCCCCTCTGCCTACGTTGCTGTCGGATTCCCTCGCAGAAGAACGCTCGTCAGGGTAGCCTTCACCGGCCGCCTCACTACAAACAGACTCCCCGCCACCCGCTCCTCGCCTGGGCAGCTGCACCCCATCTGGACTGCCGGTGTTGGCAACGTTGGGAGGGAAAATCGTGTGGTTCCCCACCATGCCTGCATGGATCTCGTTGTACAGCGCCCTGTCCATTCGGAACTTGAAGTTGTGCTCCTTCCTCTCTTCGTTCGTCAGCCTGAAAAAATCTGGCCGCCCGCTGACATTCTGAAACCTCTAAATTTTCTTGTAGTTCTGGAACAGATTATCCCACTTCTTCATGCAGTCGTCAGTGTCCTTCGGCCTCCCCGCATTCGCCATCCGCTTCGACATGTCCTCCCACTTCCACTCTTTCGTCTTCATCCGCCCGTAATTGTAAGACAAGCCAACGAGGTGCATATCTTGCTCCCGCTTGCATCGCACCAGGAGCATTTGGTCTTTTGTAGACCAGTACGTCGGAGACTTCCTGGCGTCGTCACTTACGCCACCTCTGCCTCCACGACCAACGGATCGACCACGTACACCACCTCTGCCGCGTCCTCTCCCCCTCCCAGCCGTCTTCCCTGAAGGCCGAATTGGAAAGTCGTCGTCGTCGTCCCCGGCTTCCATGTCTTCCCTCATCCCTTCGCCTGTGTCGTCACCGATTCCAACGTCGTCTTCGCCTCCATCGCTGTGTGTCCGCATGCTCGACACTCCACGTGTTATGTTCTCCACAGTGGGTCGTGGACGTACCGGCGCTCTGCACGTTCCTGCGTCCCTCACTCCGGATTCGATCGGTGTTGTGCACGCAGACATCAACGAACGTGCACCGCCCATGCGCAGGAGCCCTGCTGCCACCCCGGGGGGTGCGGGCCAGGTCGGTGTCAATCGATCGACGGACGGAGCAGTCGATCCATGCTGCCGTCCCGCTGGCGATGGCCCGACCGCGCCAGTCACGGGTGCAGCGCGACGAGGTGTGGACTGCTCCGTATGCAGACGTCCACCATGCTTAATGCCACGTGCCGAACGATCTCCGTCGATGATGAACGTACGGCTCGCCTCCCTGCCGCCGCCAGAACATAACCCGAACCTCAGATCAACTCCTCCGCCGTCGTCGTCCCGCAAGCCTTGACGCAACAATGATGTGAACTCGCCCCCTTTGTCGGGATCCGACCTGTCTGCTCGCACCGTCCGCAACCACAACTGAGTCGAGCCACTAGCGAGTCTCAAAGGCAACGTCGAAAGTTTTTCCTTCTCCGGCTCCTCGTCCGACGGGGGCAATGGCGTGTCCCACGACTCCAGATGGGTGTACATGGACGGGTCGTACCGCCTTCGAGGCTCCACTGCAGAAGATCGAACTCCTCCCTGACCGCAGCAGCCGGTCGTGCCTGCATGCCCGCCATTAGACGTTCGCCTGCCGCCCATCTCGTCGAAGCCCTCCTCTTGCGTTGTTGTTTCCACTGCCGCCACGAAAAACACACGTGGAGGAAGACGACAATCAGGACGACGACGACAGCGAGTACCAGCAGAGGCAATCTCCTCCGCAAGTCAGCCATGAAATTCACCTCTGCAGCCGCCCTCGCACGTGACCACTGCAGATGTGTGTTCCGACATGCCCGGGACAGGGACGCTCGATATTCATATGCGGACAACCACCACAGAAGACGACGAACACTCCCACCTTCCTTTTGAAATTCAACCGTTGCAGCCCGTGCTGCCCAAAGCGGCTCCGTCTGTCGTCCTGCGCACGTCGACGTCCCACTCCGCATCTCGCAAGCGACCCAACGGTCCAGTACGGGCAACCACCCGCCGACGCTCGGCCCTCCGCGCTCCACCCCCTCTGCCAACGGCTACCGTGCGTGGCCGTTGCCCACGTCGAGCCGCACAAAACCTCCGATGTCTGACCACCGACTCGACGGACCACTTCTGGACCACCAACGAGTGTCGACGGTGCCATGCGCGCGACGCAACGACTCCGTGAAACGCGGGAATCCTAAATTTTTCAGTAGGTCGGGGGCTACTGAAAAATTTAGGACGATTTTGCCTAGGGAATCCTAAATCTTTTAGGACTCGTCCGAACTCCGTTTTCACATTTTCGATCTCCGATTTCGTTTTAGGACTGTATGCAACGAGGACGCAATCCTAAAAACAGGCATTTTTAGGAGTGTCTAACGAGACCCTTAGCTCATGGAGAAGCTAGATTTTGCGTTGGACGATAAGTTAAACTTTTAAACGACTGTGATTTTTTGTAGGCGATATCAATGGTACTATGAGCTGCGCGGATGTTATGTAGAGGAATCCGGGAAAATGACGTCAGGAAGGATACGTATGGGACTGAGGATGATGGCAGAGCCTCAGAGTGAAAAAAAGGGAAAAAGCTGATGGGAGTTGGGAAAATAGGCGAGGCAAGAAGTAAAATAAAAGAAAGACAGGGAGGGAGGAAGAAGGAAGGGGGCGACGATGGGGAGTCGGGAGGAGGGTCGGGAACGAGCAACAGTGCTACGAATCTGGCCGGGTTGTACAAGAAGATTCATTTTCATTTTGTACATCTGGAAATTGGTGCAAGAAAAAAAGCCGGTGAAAAGAGGAGAATGGGTGGGGACAAACATTCTGGGTATGATGTCCTCGTGATTGTCCTCGTTTTGGGTATGATGTCCTCGTGATTGTCCTTGTTCTGGGTATGATGTCCTCGTCATTGTCGTTGTCAAGATGCCATTGGTCGCCTTGCCTATTCCGCGCTCAGCTCCAATTCCATTTTTTTTGTTTATTTTTTTTTTCTAATTCCATTTTTTTTTTTTTTTTTTGGAAAGCATTAAACCACGAGTACCTCCCCCACTGTTGGGAAATTACGTGATACTGGCCAGTATCCGAACTTATCGGGGGTCGGCAGAGCCTCGGCGTGGATTCCCAACAGTGGGTACGAAGTCATATTATTCGTATTTTTTTTTTGTTTTTTTGTTAGTTTTTTAATTTCGTGGTCGGACGTTTTTTTGGCCGTGGACCAACGTGGATAGCGGCGGTGATGTGGAAACGCTACCGGGTCCCTCCGGCGCCGGTTGTTGCATGGCAGTTGGCCGGTCGGTGCTGTGCGGTCGCCGGTGGATGGTCCGTGGTGGGCGACCGGGTTCGCGGGGGGAAGGGGGGGGTGGAGGGGGGACCAGCTCGCGTCGACGCGCGACCGACCCACGTGGGGTTCTCCGCGGGCCGCCATCGCCTCTCTCTCTCTATCTGTCTCCCGGCAACGCCACTCGCTCTCTCTCTCTCTGTCTCTCTCTCTCT